CAAGAATCACCTCATGGTCTAAAACCTTCGCACGAGTCGGGTGTTAAAAAGATAGCAACCAAAGCGAAGTGCTTTGGGAATTCTGTGTTCCATTGTGCTTGCTGATGATTGCCGACTCTTGACGGTTTAGGTGTTAGTCTCTGTAGAAAATTGTTCATTGCATCTGTTGTTTCCTTGAATCTTCCCCACCAAAGAGGGAATGTGAGGGAACCTCTTTCAGCTAATAGAAAATCCTGTTTTACCAACAAAGTACAAACAATCAAACAAGTTATCTGCCCACATGATGTAGTTTTAGTTGAGAAAATGGCATCCCAAGGCTTTGTATACTATTAAGACGCTGGTTCTTGTAATTGCAAATGTCAAAATGAGAAGTAATTTAAGCTCGTAAGTTTTTTGGAACAAAATGATAATCTCCGTGACTGTTTACTGTTGTGATTTATTTATTTATTTTTTATTTTTTGCCTTTTTCACACTTTTATTTTGCAGTGGTGTTATTGTAAATTTGTGTGCATTTTAAACCTTTTTAATATTTTATGCATATTTTTTCCTTGATTCCAAAGGGATGTAATTATGGTAGAATTGTAGTTTCTCTCGTAGCTCTTTCATATTGTGCTTTAGTGGTTCAGTTGCCGCTTGTTATAGCGTTAATGCGTTATCGGATGAAAGATTTATTTATTTATTTATTTATTTTTTTTTTGGCACCATTTGAGTATGGTGGTGCGGCGATTGGAGAAGCTAGATAGTGTGCATTTATCTGTACTATTGTGTGCATTTTAAGTTGTTATCCTTTGGTGTTTTGGCACGGGGGATTCTTCGATTATAAGGGGCGTGGGGATGGGGACAGGGGTTGGGTCTGGTGTGCATTTTAGTTTGGTGTCCATTGACATGTTGACAAGGGTTTGGTGTGATAGAAGATGGTTATTGTGCACTTGTTTGTTTTGTTGTGTCATTTTGGTTTGTTGTCTACTGACATGTTTTTTGTAGTAGTGTTGTATTAAATTTTTGTGCATTTAAAATCTTCTTAATATTTTATGCATCTCTTATGCTTGATTATAGGTGATGTATTTATAGTAGGATTTTTATTTCTCTTATAGCATTGTCAATATTTATTTTAATGGATTTTAAAGGTTGTTTGTTATGGCATCATCGGATGAAGGTAAGTATGCTACTTTTTTTTTTTTTTTTTTTTTTTTTTTTTTTTTTTTTGCGTCGTTTGTGTATGGTGGTGCGGGGGTTTGGGGTTGGAAAAGATGGAAATGACATTTTTTTTTTGGGTACTGGCGTGTGCATTTTAGGTGCATATGTTTGTATAGGTGTGTGCATTGTAAGGTATCGTGTGTGCATTTAATTTGTTTGTGACTTTGTGTGCATTCTACTATTGCAGAGTTCTGGTGGAGTTGCGGTGCATTTTACAGTGGCTAGGTTCTCGGTGGAGTTTTGTGGAGTGGTTGGTGTTTAGCATGCATTTACTTGGTCTATTGTGTGCATTGTAGTGAGGCGGGGGCTCTTGCTAGCTACTCTGTAGAGTGGCTCGTGTTTCTTTTGTGCGTTTTGTCTATGTTTTGATTTTTTGTTTGTTTGTTTGTTTTTTTTGTTTTGTTTTGTTTTTTTTTGTCTGTTTTGTCTGAGTGTATTGCATGGTTTTATTTTATGGTTATTAGGGGGTTGCAATTATCTTGTGTGTTGGCTTAGTGCAGGACCGATTTTTGTGGCACCGTTCTTGTAAATAAATGAGACCCTATCAAAAGTATAAGCGCAATCTTTAAAATCAAATCACAAGAATCCTACTAACTTATTATCTTCAAAATCCAAACAAATAAGGAAAAAAAAAAAAACTAAACTAAACAAAAAGCAAACTACCTGGTTAGTGGCTACCTGTTGCCGCTATCATTTGGAATGTAAGTAAAACGATCTGTTAGGGGGAATAATCAATTTCTTAGGTGGTATTGGTGGTGAATTGGTGAATGGTACATATTTCAAGTTATTTCTGCAGATTCAAGGCTTGAGACATCATATGTGCCGTTGGAAAAACGGAACGGTTTTGCCATGTGTCATGCTCAATTAATTAGGTCCTAATTATTAGGAGAGAGAAGTGTTAGGTCCTAATTATTAGGATAAAGAAGTGATTTGGAAAAAAACTGATGAGTTTCAAGATTAATTGCAGATTTTTTATTTTTATTTATTTCTTAAGTAGCTAGGTCAAAAATAACTATTGGGCCCTTTTTAAAAATTGAGGCCCTATGCTATTGGGCACTATGCACACCCCAAAATCCAGACCTGGTTTAGTGTGAGCGATGGGTGTGCCATTTTTGAGTCGTTATGCTATGGACTCGTGCCCAGCGTGCATCATGGGCAGGGTAACGGTGCCGTCAGGCACCGTTATCTTCCTTTTTTTTTTTTTTTTTTTTTTTTTTTTTTTTAAATTTAATTTCAAACCGCTTCGTTATAGGAGCATATATTCACAGCTTTGTGTTCATAATTCCATAACTGTACATTCATAATTCCATAACTGTACATTCATAATTTCGTAACTGTACATTCATAATTCAATAACTGTAAATTCATAATTTTTGAAGCTCTATGTTCATAATTGTAAGTTCATAATGTCAGAGTTCTGTGTTCATAATTTCATAACTGTAAATTCATAATTCCATAACTGTACATTCATAATTCCATAACTGTACATTCATAATTCCATACTGTATATTCATAATTTCATACCGAACATTCATAATTTTCGAAGCTCTATGTTCATAATTGTAAGTTCATAATTTCATAACTGTACATTCATAATTCTATAACTGTACATTCATAATGTCATAAATGTACATTCATAATTTCATACCGAATACACTGTTAACGCCGTTAACGGCCTTTTGAACAATTTTTTTTTAGTTAGAACAGCGTCGTTTTCAGGGAAAACGACGCCGTTTTAGAGTCGTGCGCACCTTGCAAGGTGCGCACGTGCGCATATCATAATTTGCCGCCATTTTTTTCCTGTGTAGAGTGTGGTGTGTGCATTTGTTGGTGCATTGTAGAGGGGTGACGGTTTTGGGAGATTTTCTAGAGTTGATGGTGTTTCTTACTGCAACACACAAATACATTATATATATATATATATATATATATATATATATATATATATATATATATATATAGAGAGAGAGAGAGAGAGAGAGAAGGGATCAGGTGCATTTGTTGTTTCCCGTGCGGATGTGCGGTGGATTAATATGCGTGAAGTTTATACTTAATGTGCGTGAGATTTGTATTCAATGTGCCTGAGATTTGTACTTAATGTGCGTCATGTTAATATGCGTGAGTTTTGTACTTAATGTGCCTGAGTATTGTGTTTAATATGCGTGAGATTTGTGCTTAATGTGCGTGCGTATTTCAGAATTACGAGCTCAGAAGGAAGCAGAACAGAAACTCACGCACATTAACGCCCAAGCTTCTTATTACTTCTTCCTTCAATTTGGCCATGGATTCTGGGTTATCAGCTACCTTCAATGCACTTGAATGTTTATATAAATAACGCACGCACAGTAAAATTTGCACAGCAGCAAAGTGTGGATTTCTGTTGTATTATTCCCATAATTCTTAACCTCCATAGCTCGCCTCCGCATCATCATCATCAGGGAGGGGGCAAATGGCTACTGGGGATGGGGAAGAAGCTGACATCAATATTTTCTCCTGCATTTTACACATTCACGCACATTAAGTACAAATCTCAGGCATATTAAGCACAACACTCACGCACATTGAGTACAAATCTTACGCACATTAATCCACCGCACATCCGCACGGGAAGCATTCAACCGCACGAGAACCTTTCACCTATATATATATATATATATATATATATATATATATATATATATATATATATATAGGGAATGATTCAGGTGTGAGTATAGCCCGTGCACGTAAAAAAGACGCACCTTAAGCATTTAAATGGTGCACCTTTTTTTTTTAAAAACCAACAAACGAGATTCATTAATGGCTCAATAACTCGGCAATACAAGTAGGTGGGATCACAGACCATGATCCCAGGACAAACATAGAACCAGTTGCCCGTGCAAGCACGTGAGCTACTCGATTCGCTGACCTCTTGACATGGTGAACAGAAATATTCCCCACGTCCCTAGCAATTAATAAACATTGCTTCACAACCAAACCTACACAAGATAAATCTAAACCAACAGAATTGAAAGCATTACAAAATAATAAGCAATCAGTTTCAATGATGATGTTATTATGATTTAGGCCTTTAAGCCACTCGAGAGCCTCCTTGATCGCACACGCTTCCAGCATGAAAGGGTCTTGATCGCACTCCATGCGCCCACTCTTCGCTGCTACAAAGCCGCCACCAGAATTTCGAATAACTGCGCCGAAACCCACACCATCGGTGAAGACCGCAGCGTCCACGTTGCATTTTAGCCAATTGTGTGGTGGTGGTGACCAGCGAACTGGACTATTATTGATCAAGGGGTTGTGCTTCAACCGTCTAAAAGTCGTCTTCCATGATACCAGCAGAGTTGTGACACGGTCGCGTAGCATCTCCAATGACCACCTCTCATTACGCCATATCCAATCATTGTGGGCCGTCCAAAGGACCCAGGTGTTGGCCGCCATCCGTAGAGCCTGGTTCAAGCAAGGACCTCCCAGGACGGAGTTCATGAAGTCAGAGAAAGATCTACCTTGCAACACATCATCCACTCCCCACAACTGGCGAGCAACCACGCAATCACCGAACAGGTGTTCCAGGGTTTCATATAAATGATCGCAGAACGGATAGCCTCCTCCAATCCACACCCGCTTAGATTTCAGTTGCTCTCGAACAGGCAACAGCCCACGTGCACACCTCCACAGTAGGTTTCACACGTTTGGCGGAGTTAGCAGCTTCCAGAGACTCGTCCAAGCAGTGAAGGATGAAAGTAACTCATCCGCCTCAGTCACTTCAGTGAGGAGTTTATAGCCATGTTTGACTGTGTACATACCTTTCATGTCACCCAGACACCCACCCAGCGCCAGGAATCAGGAATGTGCACTGCAGTTGGTGTAGCAATAATTCGTCGAACATCGCCTGTGTAAAAAATGTACGCCAGAAGCTCTGTGTCCCAATCGCCCTGGCTTGTGAGCAATCCGCTCACCATCGCATCCTGCAGCTCCTCTATGACCGGAGTGATGAGAGACGGATTTGTTACATTAGCTAACCACGACCAATCCCATAAGTTAGTGTCTGCTCCATTGCTTATTCGACGTGCTGCTCCCTTGCGAAGAATCTGTTGCCCGACCAGAATGCTGCGCCAAATGGAACTCGGATTCCTTCCCAAGCTCGCGTCCAGAAACTCACAATGAGGAAAATACTTGGCCTTAAGAAGTCTAGCGACCAATGATTCAGGGTGAACCATCAATCGCCAGCCCTGTTTAGCCAAGAGTGCCACGTTGAAATGGTGTAGTCTCTTGAACCCAAGCCCGCCTCGATCTTTTGGCAAGCACATACGCGCCCAGCTTAGCCAATGTATCCCTCTTGCGTTTAATCCATTTCCACCCCACCAGTAACGATTGAAGAGTCTCTCAATCGAATCACAAGTTCGGGTAGGCAAAAGGAAAACCGACATAGTGAAGATCGGTAACGCCTGAGCAACGCTCTTGAGAAGAACCTCCTTGCCTGCCTTGGATAAAAATTTGTGCTGCCAATTCCCCATCCGTTCTCGGATCCTAGCCTCAATGTAGTGAAACGTGGCGTTTTTGTTTCTGCCCAGCACCGATGGTAATCCAAGATACTTACCAAAGTCGGCCAACTCGCGCACCCCTACGCATGCAGACACTAGCCTCCAATGATCGGCAGTGGTATTGTGACTGAACACAGCACAAAACTTGTCAAAATTTATTAATTGTCCTGAAGCTCCGCTATACTTTTCCAAGCATTCTTTAACCTTTTGGGCCTTGCGTTGATTAGCCTTAAAGAACAGGAGGCTATCATCTGCGAAGAATAAGTGCGAGATGGACGGAGCCCCCCTCGCTATACCATGAATGTCCCCACATCCTTCCGCCTGTTGCAGCAAAATGGAGAGCCCCTCTGCACATATAATAAAGAGGTACGAGGATAATGGGTCCCCTTGACGGATGCCCCTTGTTGGACAAACTGTTCCCACGCCTTTGCCATTCGCCTGAATGGTGTACCGCACCGATGAGACACACAACATTAATAGCTGAATCCACTCTTGCGCAAACTCCAGGGCTTTCAGCATTCCCTCGAGAAAATGTCACTCCATCCTGTCGTACGCTTTTGCCATGTCAAGTTTTAGTGCTGCCCACCCCCCTACACCACACGTCTTCCTCCGTAGATAATGCCCAATTTCCCCCGCCACAATGATGCTATCTGTAAGGAGCCGCTCGGGAACAAACGCACTTTGAGAGTTGGAGACCACAAACTGTAGCACATGTTTCAAACGATTAGCAAGCATTTTTGCCAGCACCTTGTAGACATTGCAAAGCGCAATTGGACGCAGATTAGATACTTTCTCCGGCACCTTCTTCTTCGGTAACAGAACAATATTGGACTCATTCAGCCCTTGAGGAAAGCTGCATGAATCGATACATTTAAGCACAAACATAGATAGGTCATGTCCTAGTACCGACCAAAAGTGTTGGTAAAAGGACGGTGACATGCCATCCGGGCGTGGAGCCTTCTCCAGGGCCATTGAGAAAAAAGCTTATTTCACCTCCAAGGTGGTATAAGGACGCAACAGTTGGTTGTTCAACTCGTCAGTGACCCTCTTGTCCACCCTCGCAAAGAGAGAAGAATTACTATTTTTAGAATTGAAGATGACAGTAAAATTCCTCAGAATTTCAGCCTGCATGCCTGGCCCTTCGCGCCACACCCAAAATGGTGCACCTTAAGTACACAAACCACACACTTTAAAGAAGGAAACCACTCACCTAAAGCTTTAGGTTGACGCAACTTAGGTTTCAACATTGACGCACTTTAAGCACACAAACCACACACCTTAAGAAGGAAAACCACGTACCTTAAGAAAGAAAATCACGCAACTAAACAACCACACAACCACATATGAGAAGGCCAATCGCACTGGAACCCATATATATATATATATATATATATATATATATATATATATATATGATCAAATAAGAACCCATCTTCACCTGCGAACCAACATAAATGCACATCAATTATTTCTGGATAAATTGTGTGCATGGTACACTAGAATCTAAGATAACCAATTCGGTAACTAACTTGGCATCCAACGGCCTCGTTTGAGCATTCCGATAGCTAATTCACAAAATTGAGCATTCTAATAGCTACTTCACAAAATAACTAATCAACCCCTTTATTTCCTAAAATTGACTCACCAGGCCGGTTCATTGAGAGAGAGAGGGAGGGGGGGGGGGGGGGGGGGGAGAGGGAGGGGGGGGGGGAGAGGTGGGGGGGGGGGGAGGGAGGAGGGGGGGAGAGAGAGCTGCTTCCTCGCTCATCCTTTCCTTCGAAAACTAGTCGACTTCATTTGGCAACCAGCTAACCTGTTAACTCACTTGGTAAGAGAGGAAAGAAAACGGCCACTTGGAAAAGATTTATGTTTTCTCTAGTTTCTAAAATGTTTAAGAGTTTTGGCATTAAAAAAAAGTCGTTGCTTGTGGGTGGAGAAGAAGTAAACAGCAATGATCATCAGAATCAATGGCATCTTTAGATTACCATAAAACATGGAAGAAGATACAGTAATCCAACCCGGACGACTAAAGAATGTTCCAAAGTACAGCTAAAGTCAGTATTCTATTTTGCGTGGTTGAATAGACAATAAATTTACACTATTTACATGATTACATATACTCCCCACCCAATAGAGAAATTCAGGGAGTTGGACAAAAAATCGATCTAATAATATAAATATCACAAAGGTTTGATCTGATCAGTATGATCTGAATTAATTCTTAGGACTGAAGCATACAGATCTCGGGATAAAATCACATTCCCGTTAACATATTGTGTTGCGTAACTGGAAACACGAGGGTCCAAGACAATGCTGCATGAAACTGATTCCTCGTTTCCTAGTCGAATGCCATAGTATGTTAGATGATCTGAAATGCTGTTTCCAGTCACTGACCTGAAAGTTCATTACACAAGATATGCAGCAGTGAGGGAAAAAAATTAAATTCCTGCATGAATTTTGGGTGACTGGTGGACATTGTACACCTATAGCACATGAAAGAGAAGCATTACCTGCTGCAAGTTGGGTCTTCCCCAGAACCATCACAAACCTTCTCTACTGTATAAACTAGACTTCCCAAACCAATGTTATAAAGCCAAACCTACAATTTCGGGAATCTCATAATAGGTAAACCAGGTATGATGAGGATAATCAGAAATGAGATATTGTCAAAACTTGTTTAGGTCCATGCACATTCATCATCTATATATACCACAAGTAACTTGTCAATATATCCTATGTCGGGTTCCCAGCTAAGCAGACTAAACTTCAGCTGATTTACTATCAAGAATAGAATATTCATAGGAGGGAAAACCCTGGCATTACCTCTCTTGGGAAATGATGGTATGTCTTTGAAGGGAAAAGACTAAAATAAGGGGGCAAATGAGGCACAATATCATGACCATGTGTCACACGGATGGTGTTCGGCACACGCTCGCTATAGCCGGTTGCAAAAGCTGCATTGCCCATTCTAGGCTGTCCAAATGTCATAACCTGAATTTCTTCAGCACCAAAATTGACCTGAATATTAGTATAAGGTAATTTGTCAAGAAACCAACAGAATGTACATGGCACTTGATATATGGCACAAGGGCTTGATATGGCATAAGGTGAATGACATTACTATTTAATAAATGTGGAGGTAAAATCTTAATATAGATGATTAATAATTATTAATTTAAAAGATTGGAGATCTAGGTAATAGTTACAGTGAGATCCAGTGCAAAAAAAGCAGCCAATGCCCCTCCCATTGAATGCCCTGTCACCATAATCTGATAATCTCCATAAAACATTTTGGCTTCTTTAACAGCATTTAATGCCGAAGAACGTATAGTTGAAGCATTATAACAATTATAAAATCCATGATGCACCTGAAATCAGAAGGAATATGAAAATTTATAGCTATCATAAAAGAATTCTATAGAGCCACACAAATTGGCAAAGTAGTCACCATTGCACCATCCATTCCAGGATAATCAAAATCAAGCTGCTTCCAGTATAGATCTTCAACCCAGTTCATTATGCTATAATGGAAATAATCAGAACTAGAAACACATTAATGTGTAAGGACAATGGCTTATATAGGACTGGAAAAACCTGGTTGTACTGCCTCTGAATGCAACAACAATAGCTTTAATATTAGGATCCACTCCAACAAATGCCTGCATGAGATATAAACAATTATAGTTATTTACTGAGCTAGCTATCAGTGAAGAAGGAAAGACATGATATTGCTGCAGTGCCATCAGACCACACCTGCAGACAATACTGGACATCAACAATCAGCTCAATCATTTCAAATCCCTGCTTCCAGAAAATAAATGCAATCAGTGCAAGTACTTATTGACAATGAATGATGATAATATGCCAAATTAAATTGGAAAAGTTCAACTGTTAAGCTCAATATAGTGATAATACAAATACAATACCCTGGTCAAATCATCACAAATTGAGCACGTCCAAGTAAATAGTTCAAAGGTATCAGTCATATAGACCTGCAAATGAAGCAGTGATTTACAATTATTTTCTAGTTGCCAACAATGAGGAAGAAATCATACTAACACAATGTCTCTAGGTTGTGTTAAATAAGCATCCGAATTTAGCAGATGCATATCTAATAGAATGCAAACCAAGCATACATTTGATTAGCCAAAATTAAGCATTGACAACAGAATAAGAGTAATAAACGATTAGCAAGAAAACATGCCAACTAGTGAGAAAACTTGACACAAACTGAACAGTAAATCAGTATCATTACACCATATCAGGGAAATAATTGAAGCTAAAACTTACAGCTGCAGCATATTCTACCAAGATTGTGGCAAGTGTGTGATTATAAACTGCCAAATCAGATTTGAGCTTCGCCCTGACATTAAGTTCTACAACCAAAGTACTCATAAGAAACTACTTATAAGTACATATCTATAATCACACTACAAATAAAAGTGCTCATCCAATCCAAAAACAATTATCAGTAGAAACTATGCTTGATCAATACGTCGGCTTACCTCTTCCAGGTGAGAGCGAAAATAAGCACATCAATATAACTACCTTTAACAAATTTTTCCAATCCATTTCCCCTATAAACATTAAATGCGGAAACAGAGAAAAAAAAATTAAATAGATTACAATACTGGCACTAAAAATAAGTAGAAATTAACGAAAACGAGCGAGCTCAATTACCTGCAGATGCTCCAGAATGCAAAGCCGGAGCTCCGACGGGAAAGGAAATTCAGTATTTCCCAATGACCGCACGCCGGCGACGATTCGGTAACGGATAACGGCAGGATAGCCGGCGAGCGGGCAGAATAAATGCAAATTCGTGAAGAAAGTACCAATATGTGGTTGAGATTTGTTTCGGCACTTGGGAGCCGGCGAAGAGAAGGCTAAATGGAATACGAAATTTCCAGGGAAGTTAGGATTTGTTACCGGCGATCGGGGTTTCTTGTGGTGGTCAAATTTGGGGTATTTATAGTTTATACGTTGCCGCTGGCGTGAAGGAAGGAGAAATATGTATTGTGTACTCGTAGAGTCGTAGTGGATCTGACTAGGATTTTGGATATGCTCGTTGGACCACGTGCGGCTTTTAGAGAATAACTACCTATGACTCCTATGAGTAGAGAGTTGTTATACCATATAAATTGTATATTTTTAATACTGAAATTGTGAACTTTTAGAATATAAATTGTGTTTTTAAATCAAATCACATAATAGTAGGTGTAAAAGGAAATTTGTGAATACAATATATGGTCATCAAATCATAATATATCAATATTGTGTGATTGCACTATTTGAAATGAACTTGTAAATACAAAACAATGTAATCAATTATTTATCACGGATTGTCTGACCCTAAAGCATTATTTATCATCCACCATTGGACCGATTCGTTCGTACGGTGGCTATGCCATTGATAGTTGCAAGTCTATTATTACTTTGTTTGAGTGTTGTTTTATTAGTTTCGTTCCTAGATCAGGAAATTTAATAGTTCATGCCTTAGCATCTTCAGCTTTTGATCAGTCTACTGTTATGTATTGGGATGCTATCCCGCCTGACACTATTTCACCTTATCTCTAATATAAACCATCTTGGTTGCTTTCAAAAAAAAAAAAAAAAATTACATATATGTTAACATTGTGTGCTCGTGTCAAAAGTTATGTCATGGACCCAGGAATCACCTTGCAAGGTGGACCCTGGTCAAAATACACAATTTATATATTGAATGTTCACAATTTACATATAAATTTAACTTTATAGCAAGTCGTAGGAAAAGGCGACCAAACTGGTCACCGTCGATCGGAGAAGGCGACCAAACCGTTCGCCTTCTCTGTCGACTACTCCAGCGATAGAGAAGGTGACCGGTTTGGTCGCCTTCTCTAGTTGGGGGAGACGACGATCTGGTCACGCCTTCGCCGAATTTCACCGGAGCTCCTTGCTATAGCATATCACTATTAGGGTTTTGTGTTTAATTGCGATTTTCAAAAGTTAAAAGGCCTAATTGACTTTCTAGTAGAGTGACCGTTATGTAGGCCCAAAGCACTAAGGCATTAAGAAGAAACATAACAAAAAGCTAGGGGTCGTTTACCAACTTGGAAAAATAGAGAATTTTCCAAAAAATTGGAGAATTGAAGAAGTGGAAAAATGGAAATTGGAAAACTTGTTTACTAAATTTATTCTTCCAAATCCAATCTCATCTCCATTCTTCCACTTCTAATACAAATTTGGAGAAAGCCAAATAACCATTCTCCAAATGGAGGAATGGAATGCACGGGTGAACAGTGACATTTGTGCGTGAGGTCCTGTGATCGATTCCTGCTTGCGCCTATTTTATTCTTCACAGTTCACAGCTTCTTTCTTTCTTCTGTTTCCCCCCTTTCTTTCTTCCCTTCGTTTTTTCCCCTCTGTTTTTTTTTTCTTTCGAATTCTTTCTTCTTTTTTAATTATTATTATTATTATTATTATTATTATTATTATTATTATTATTATTATTATTATTATTATTTCTTTCTTACATTCGTTTTTCCCCTCCTTTCTTTTTTTTTTTCAAATTCTTATTATTATTATTATTATTATTATTATTATTATTATTATTATTATTATTATTATTATTATTATTATTATTATTATTATTATTATTATTTCTTTCTTACATTCGTTTTTCCCCTCCTTTCTTTTTTTTTTTTTCAAATTCTTATTATTATTATTATTATTATTATTATTATTATTATTATTATTATTATTATTCCCCCTTTCTTTCTTCCCTTCGTTTTTCCCCACTTTTTTTTTTCGAATTCTTTCTTCTTCTTATTATTATTATTATTATTATTATTATTATTACTTTTTCTATAATTTTTATTGCAATGATTTCTTCACTTTTGTATTTTTAGCTGTAATTATAAAATTTGAATATAGATTTCTTATATATTTACAAATAATAATATTTATTTTTATAAAAAATATATGCTTATTACTTAAAAAAAATCACTTTTGTATTTGTATACATGTTATTATTGGGTATGTTGTTTTGTAATCGGTTGTAAATTATTTAGTGTAAGGTTTTTATTGGTGTATTATTATTATTATTATTATTATTATTATTATTATTATTATTATTATTATTATTAGAAAAATGAAAAAATGGAGAAATAGCGAATGAAAATTAAAAAAACTAGAGAAATAGAGAAGGAAAACTGGAGAAATGGAGAAATGGAGAAGGAAAACTGGAGAAATAGAAAAATGGAAAACTGGAAATGGAAAAACAGAAGAATGAAGTAAACGACCCCTATATATTTCAAGACAAATTATATCGTGCACCGCGGTGCATAATCAATTATGCACCGCGCATCAAAACGACGTCGTTTTATTTAATGAAAAGAAACGAAATCCGTTTCGCACCATTCCGCAAAAAATAACTGTGTTCTTTAATTTTATTTTGTGTACACTGCAGTTTCAGTTCAACACAACTACAGTTTCATTTCAATATAACTACAGTTTCATTCAATATTTATACACTCAAATATGTGAAAATGTTATTTAATTTTATTTTATATACACTATAGTTTCATTAAAATACAACTAAATGATCATTTCGATATAATTACAGCTTCATTGTACAATATATACTCAAATATGTGAAATGTTATTCAGTTTTATTTTATATATATACTGCTCACCACAACTACAGATAACTGCAGTTTCATTTGATAATATAAAAATAACATGTGAGGCAATGTCAGTTTAACTGCAATTTCATTTGATAATATAAAAATAATACGTGAGGCAATGTCGGGTGTCACTCCGTTAACACTAACAGCGCCTTGTTTCTTTTAAGTAAAGAAACAGCGCCATTATGATGCGCCCGTCCAGGATATAACGATTGATATTTCAACGGCAAGGGAACAAGGCAAGGTAGCCTCAAACACAAGCGTAAGCGTATAAAAAAATCAAGCGGTGACTAAAAACAATCAACACACTATCACTTACAAATGATGCTCCATCATGTGCACAACACCTGTATAGCTTCCGTTAAATAATTTCATAAGGGTACACACAACTAAATAATTTCATAAGGATATATATACAAGCAACCGCCACAGGAAATGGACACATTCCATGGATACTAACCAGTAGTACACTGAGCCTTAATATGAAAGAGAGATAACAATTTATTGACAAAATTGTAATTTAATTCTTAAATTATTATTTTTTAACATTTTTAATAGAAAGAATAAAAAAATCCCTTTAATTTATACATTATGTTCTCTTATCTCCTTTTTTTTTTTTTTTTTTTTTTTTTTTTTAAACCATCTTCTCTATTATCTCCTCCTCCTGGGCTTCTGCTTCATATATGTTCTGATTCGATCGAGGAAGGCTTAATCATGTCTCCATTCAACAATTTCTTTATTCTCCTGCGGCCCCTTCTCACCCCAAACCATTGCCTCTAAAACAGCACGCTTTCTCCTGTCTTTATCCCCACCCCATATCAACTCTGTCCTATCTGAATCTTGTGGAGTCCAGTAATCTGCACAATTAGTGTTGTCACCGGAGGAGCTGCCTATATCGCCGCCGCCGGCAATAGTGTCACCGGAGGCAAGATGTGTGAGAGCGGTTACAACATCTCTGATTAAAGGCCTTGATGCAGCTTCTTCATGTACGCACATGCATGCCACTGTTAGTGCTTGATAAAATGCCCGTTTGGGATACCGCCCCCCCAGCAGTGGATCCGCCGTTTTAAAGGCTTTCTTTTTGTCCCCCAAACGGGGCCTAGCCTGCAACCAACCAAATCTCGTTAATATCTGGTTCGATTTGACCAAAAAATAGTAAACATTGGACAGAAGGAGTATATATGTATGTACCCAGGCTACAAGATTTTCTTCTGGTTGAGTTTTTGAGGGATCAATGGCCTTGATCCCAGTGATGATTTCGAGCAAAACGACCCCAAAACTATAGATATCAGATTTGGGAGTGAGTTTACCGGTGCGGGCATACTCGGGGGCACAGTAACCATATGTGCCCATCACGCGTGTAGAGACATGAGACCTACCGTCAGTAGGACCCAGTTTTGCAAGTCCGAAATCTGACAGTTTAGGGTGAAATCCCTCGCCAAGAAGGATGTTTGAAGATTTTAAATCTCTATATATAACCGAGGGATCAGCTTTGTCATGTAAATACTCCAACCCCTCTGCTACGCCGGCTGCAATCTTCATTCTTGTATCCCAGTCCAAAGGTGCTTTATCAGGTGGAAGATCTGCTATGTGTAGTAGTGTTTGATTAATTAAAAAGAAGAAGAAGAAGAAGAAATATTTTCTATGAATTGAAGCACAAGGGAGGTGGATATGAAGCTAACCGTGCAAATGATCCTCAAGAGAGCCCAACGCCATATACTCATAAACAAGAAGTCTTTGATCCCCATCTGCACAATAACCTATCAAGTTGACAAGATTTGGATGATGGCAGAGGCAAAGCATCAGAACCTCCACAAAAAACTCTCTCTGCCCTTGAACCCCATCTTGGTTAAGCTGCTTCACAGCAACTACCTGCACATGATCATTTCACAATATATACTTCAATTATTCATAAACAAATAATCGAAACCATATACGTCAGGCAAGCTGGTCAAGTTGCTGGTCAAGTTGTTGACTTGGTAATCCCAGTTTACAAGTTCGACTCCTAATGAGAGGGGTCTATTAGTCTTCTCAATTTTGAACCAGTCAATTATGGAAAAGTATGGAAAAGTCTGACCCCTAATGAGAGGGGTCTTCTCGATTTGAACTGATCAATTATGGAGAAGTTTGATTCTAATAGGATGGTATATTAGCCTCTTAGTTTGATCGAGCTAGTCAATTATGAGCAACCTATATTAGTTTGCCTCCTTGTAATCCTTTATTGGCTAGGGTCACAAGTCCGGATTCTTTTATTGGCTAGGGTCACAAGCCCGGGTTTATCCGCACACCATGTGTGGGTTTCCTGTGATCCACCATGTGTGGGTTTCCTGTGATCCACCATGTGTAGGTTTCCTGTGATCCAAAATAATGGAAACCAAAATAATGGAAACCATATACCGGGCAAGCTGGTAAGTTGTTGACTTGGTAACACCAGTTTACAAGTTCGACTCCTAATGAGAGGGGTCTATTAGTCTTCTCGATTTTGAACCAGTCAATTCGATTTTGAACCAGTCAATTATGGAGAAGTCCTCTATTAGTCTTCTTGATTTGAAGCAGATCAATTATGGAGAAGTTTGATTCCTAATAGGAAGGTATATTAGCCTCTTAGTTTGATCGAGCCAGTCAATTATTAGCAACCTATATTAGTTTGCCTCCTTGTAATCTTTTATTGGCTAGGGTCACAAGCTAGGGTTTATCCGTGCACACCATGTGTGGGTTTCCTCGTGATCCCAAAATAATGAAAACCATATACCCCGAGCAAGCGGGTCAAGTTGTTGACTTGATAACCCCAGTTTACAAGTTCGACTCCTAATGAGAGGGATCAATTATGGAGAAGTTTGATTCCTAATAGGAAGGTATATTAGCCTCTTAGTTTGATCGAGCCAGTCAATTATTAGCAACCTATATTAGTTTGCCTCCTTGTAATCCTTTATTGGCTAAGGTCACAAGCTAGGGTTTATCCGTGCACACCATGTGTGGGTTTCCTCGTGATCCCAAAATAATGAAAACCATATACCTATACCCCGAGCAAGCTGGGTAAGTTGTTGACTTGGTAACACCAGTTTACAAGTTCGACTCCTAATGAGAGGGGTCTATTAGTCTTCTCGATTTTGAACCAGTCAATTCGATTTTGAACCAGTCAATTATGGAGAAGTCCTCTATTAGTCTTCTTGATTTGAAGCAGATCAATTATGGAGAAGTTTGATTCCTAATAGGAAGGTATATTAGCCTCTTAGTTTGATCGAGCCAGTCAATTATTAGCAACCTATATTAGTTTGCCTCCTTGTAATCTTTTATTGGCTAGGGTCACAAGCTAGGGTTTATCCGTGCACACCATGTGTGGGTTTCCTCGTGATCCCAAAATAATGAAAACCATATACCCCGAGCAAGCGGGTCAAGTTGTTGACTTGATAACCCCAGTTTACAAGTTCGACTCCTAATGAGAGGGATCAATTATGGAGAAGTTTGATTCCTAATAGGAAGGTATATTAGCCTCTTAGTTTGATCGAGCCAGTCAATTATTAGCAACCTATATTAGTTTGCCTCCTTGTAATCCTTTATTGGCTAGGGTCACAAGCTAGGGTTTATCCGTGCACACCATGTGTGGGTTTCCTCGTGATCCCAAAATAATGAAAACCATATACCTATACCCCGAGCAAGCTGGTCAAGTTGTTGACTTGGTAACCCCAGTTTACAAGTTCGACTCCTAATGAGAGGGATTTATTAGCCTTCTCGATTTTGGTACTGGTCAATTATGGAGAAGTCCTGACTCCTAATCTTCTCGATTTTGAACCGGTCAATTATGGAGAAGTCCTGACTCCTAATGAGAGCTAGGGGTCTATTAGCCTTCTCAATTTTGAACTAGTCAATTATGGAGAAGTTGTAAACTTCGACTCCTAATGAGAGGGAGCTCCTAATGAGAGGGATTTATTAGTCTTCTCGATTTTGGTACTGGTCAATTATGGACTCCTAATGAGAGCTAGGGGTCTATTAGCCTTCTCAATTTTGAACTAGTCAATTATGGAGAAGTTGTAAACTTCGACTCCTAATGAGAGGGAGCTCCTAATGAGAGGGATTTATTAGTCTTCTCGATTTTGGTACTGGTCAATTATGGAGAAATCCTGACTCCTAATGAGAGCTAGGGGTCTATTAGCCTACCGGTCAATTATGGAGAAGTCCTGACTCCTAATGAGAGCTAGGGGTCTATTAGCCTTCTCAATTTTGAACTAGTCAATTATGGAGAAGTCCTGACTCCTAATGAGAGCTAGGGGTCTATTAGCCTTCTCAATTTTGAACTAGTCAATTATGGAGAAGTCCTGACTCCTAATGAGAGGGGTCTATTAGCCTTCGTAGTTTGATCAAGTCGAGCCAGACAATTATGAACAACCTATATTGATTTGTCTCCTTGTAATCTTTTGTCGGATAGAGTTACATGGCAGGGTTTATCCGTGCACACCATGTGCGGGTTTCCTCGTGATCCAAAATAATGGAAACCATATATGTATATATAAATTTCCCTTCCGGGCACAATGAAGGCCGGTGTAGTGAATGACCTGGTGAGTAGTTTTGATGTGACCTTTATAAACCCGTCCAAACCCGCCTTCACCAAGCAAACACTCAGGACTAAAGTTTTGGGTTGCAGCAGCAAGCTCTTGATATGCCAAGTAATTTATAGTAGGAATTAGTACTGCCTTTGACTTGTGATCTGCTGCATATATAATAAATAAATAACACTCAAATTGTTAAATGTTCCATCATCATCAACCAATAATCAATAATAAATTAAAAATAAAATTCTGCTCTGCATTAGAAATTAGAATTTAGAATTTACGCAAAATAATAGATAGAAAAAGCTGACCTGAGATAAGATTGTGAAGATATTTGTGTTTTGAGGAGGCAAGGCAGGTAAAACACGGACCCATGTCAAATTCTGAGATAGATTGATTCCCTGGAGAATTTAAAACCTGAGATCAGACGTGGTTACGTGGGCGGGCAAGTGTTCCATGGAATTGAAATAATTAAATATATAAAAATAAATGGCGTAAATAAGAGAAATTCCAGGTTTTTTTGTGGTCATACAGAGAGTCAACTGACATGAAAATTGGTTTAGTAGGCTTAGGTGATAAGAAATCGGGATAAGGAGTCCAAGTGCCATAAGTCTTTGACTAATAATAATAATAATAATAATAATAATAATATTTCCATTAGATAAAAACATGGTTGTAGTAGGCGCTAGGCACTAGTGGGTGGTAGAGTAGCATTTAGCGTCTAAACGGTCTAGGTGGGCGCTTATGCGGCTAACTAAAAAACATGCACGTGTGTGGGTGTATTATATATAGATTGCATGAATCTTTTGTTGAGCCTGCAAAGTACTACTAGGGACCTGTCATATGTGGTCTCGCTGTCAAGGATTGTTAGGGCATCCTCAATAGTTGGAGATTTTACTCCTAATTTTTGTGGGCCCCAACCTCCACCTCATCATCCACTATCTCACTCAATCACAAAATCTCTTCTTCCCATTAGTTTTAAGTTTTTTAACAACTTTTTGTGGACCCACCATTTTATCTCCATATTTTAATTATTTATTTATTTATTTTATTTATAAATTTATAATTTTAGTGATAAACATAAATGATACCTAAAAATAATATGTAAATTAATATATGTAAAAATTGTAAATAAAAAATATTAAAAATTGTGAAAAATGTGTTATTTATAGCAAATAAAATCATAATTATTAATTACAAAAATCATATGTAAAAATCATGATTATAACAAAAATCATATTATTAATATATAAAAATCATAAAAATAAAAACAAAAAATAAAATAAAGGCCGTTGCCAATCCAAAATCAATTTAATCAATTGATTTCAGAGTGGCCGCTAGTTGGCGGCCACTCTGAAACGCCTTGGCGGGCGCGTGTGTTACACGCGCCCGCCAGGCTGAAGGGTGAGACGCACCTGCGCGTCTCACCCTTCTTTTTTTTTTTTTTTTTTTTTTTTTAAATTCTGACAATTTTTTTTTTTTTTTTTTTTTTTTTTTTTTTTGCAGGAGAAAAATGTGATATGTTTTTTTGCTTCCCATTTGTTAAAAAGTTAAACATGGAGATTTTATTGTTCCAAAATTAGGGAAAGAACTCCTATTATGAGTCTAGTTGGTTCATCAGCGTTAATGTTTTTTTTTTTTTGGGTTTTTTTTTAAAGGTATGACCAAGGATATGATCCCTATGTGGTTTGAAGGTGTTATGAATATTTTACCTACTGACGGCCTTATGTTAGCAGCTGCTTTGTTATACAACATCTGGAATACAAGAAACAAAGCCGTGTGGGATGCATCATTGCCCATGCCGAGGAGGGTCGTCTCGGCTACGTCTTCTGCTGTACGGCCTTGGCGTCTGGTTCACTCGCGTGGCGATCAGCCCGTCAGCCGTCTGCCTTGGCGGGTGCTGTTCTCCTCAACTCGGATGGAAGCTTCGAGGCTGCCTTCAGCACCACCCTACCGGATTGCTATCCCCACTTATGGCAGAGTCTATGGCGTGCAAAGAAGTGTTGTCCTGCCTCGAGGGGTGTTAGTGGTACAATGTTACTTGTCAGCTGCCAGTGTTACTCTATGTTCCTATATTGGCTACGGTGTCGATGATAAGTGTAGAAATTATATGTCCTCGTTTAATCAATGTTTTATTAATTTTGTTCCTAGGTCAGCTAATTTATTAGCACATACTCTTGCATCCGTAGCTTTTGCTCAGTCTAGTACTCTGTACTGAGATTCTATACCTCCTGACTCTATTGCGGTTTATCTTTAATATACCAGGTTTTGATTGCTTTAAAAAAAAAAAAAAAAAAAAGGTATGACCAAGGAAAGAAAAAATGAGGAGGAAAAACTTCAAAAAAAAAAAAAAAATGAGGAGGAAAAAAAACTTTAAATAGCAAAGGCATGCACCCTACCCACAACTAAATAACTCAATAATATTGCTCTCGGAGTTTAGCATAATTGGTTTGTCCACGTCCATAGTGTGATGTTCAAATCCTACCTAATGGAAAAAAGGCTCAAGAATGTCTCTTGATTGGATCCCTTTGAACACATGAAGACTAGGATTTTACCCGTAGTCAAGACCGTCTCTGGGCATGTTTGCCCAGGGACCTTGCACAGGGCCCCAAAATTTGGGGGCCCCAATTACAAAAGATATATACATATAGTATACAGCAAGCAGTGTAGCCTGCTGTATAGTATGTGTATACATATAATTTTATTTTATTTATTTATTTATTTTTTTTTTTTACAATTGAGCCCCAAATTTGGGGGCACAATTGTAAAAAAAAAAAATACTTATATACATACATATATATATATATATATATATATATATATATATATATATATATATATATATATATATATATAATTTTTTTTTCAATTGGGAGCACAATTGTAAAAATAAATAAATAAATAAATAATTGTATACTTATATACATGATTGATTGATTGAAAAAATTGCTAGGCACTCCTCGAGCACTCGGGGGAGCCTAGCGTCTAGGGCACCTCGACGTTCATGTATTTTTTATTTTATTTTTTAAAAATTTGTTTAAAATTTTTAAAATTTGATAATTATAAACTATTTAATACTTTAATAGTTAATACTAAAATATTAAATATTAACTATAAAAAGATGAGTTTGAACAATTTATGGTTATTTCGCTCAAAATAATGTAGTTTTGAGTGAAATAACTTATTTAAAAAGAATGAAATAATAGCTAATTGACCGATTAGGCGATTTTGTCGGCGCCTAGAAGTCCAAGATGGCACTTAGGCAGCCTAGTCGGCCGCCTAGCCTGCCAGCCGCCTAGACCACCGATTAGGGTGATATTGCAAATAGTTGTGGCAAAGTAAGAGATTGGATCCTTTAGAGTAGTGTAATGTATTTATACAATTGTACAACTATTTATTATTTATATATATGAAATAGTTGAAAAAGGGCCCAAATTACGATGTCGCACAGGACCCCATTTTTATTGGAACGGCCCTGCCGGCTGTAGTTGATTGCGTGACTCTATTAATCCAGTGAAGTTGAGATGACCTTTAAAAAAAGAAAAAAAAAAAAAACATACATGCACAACAACAAACAACAACCCTTAAAATAAAACAAAGTCATTCAAATCACCTATATATATCAAATTTGAAACAGAAGGCCCTTAGCTTAGCTTGGTATGCACACAAAAGTTACCATGCAATAATCTAATAAAGCAACAATAAATGCATCTTAGTGATTTAATTATAGTAGCGCTTTAATGGACTTGTTGTATTAACTTAATGAACTTACAATAAAGAATTTAAAGAAGTGATTTAAATAAACTTGTAATAATGACTTAATGTATTTGTAGGTTAATTACATTTTTTTTAGAAAAAAAAAAACCAGTATGTGTATGATTTTTTTTTTTTTAAATCTATTAAAAAGCTTTTTAATGATATATATATATATATATATATATATATATATATATATATATATATATATATATATATATATATATATATATATATATATATATACTTTAATTTTATTTTTACAAAAGGAAAATGAAAAAAATTAAATTATATTAGAGAAAAAAAGAATTTTAGAAAAATAAGTTAGAATGATTTGATATGGATAGAGTTCAATCTGGCAAGATAGACGATGGTGGTAAAGGATATAACAATTGCAAATACATTTCCCTATATTTATCAAAGCATATATCTACTCTAGATGATGAGGGAAACACCTGACCACCATTAAGATGGTGGCGGTTAGTGGCCCCTTTTTTTTTTTTTTTTTTTTGTGAGTACTACTGATTTTATTACAATGCAATGTATGTTCATAATTACTTTCCCAACGTACTGAAGCATAAAGAGTTAATATTGCTCGCACTGAGGCTCAAATTCACAACCTCCATATGAGACTATTTCTCAATGTACTGAAGCACAAATAGTTAATACCGCCCGCACCGAGACTCGAATCCACAACTTCCCATATGGAAAAACAATTTGGTGTCACTAGACCACAAGGTCCTACTTTACTTGCGCTCGGCTGCGGGGCCAACCTCATAAGTTAGTTCGATTTGCCTTGCTCCATTTCTTTTGATCGATTTGCTCTGAATCTGCTTTCAATATATTCATCAGTTTAATTCTTTATATATTGCATATATAAAGAATTGAAAAACGTAGTAATATGCACCACATTTACAGTTGAGTTCAACCAATGCACGCATATATATATGTATATGTATGTTATATGTAACTATGCACATTTGCGTTACTAGTGTTGATTCTTGAAGGATAAAATAAAGCAATGATCTTTCTGTAGGCTGATGCATATATGCAGCTAGACCGACCACGAATCATTTTCTGTATGTATAGAAGGAGTTGACATTTTATCTCCACCTGTCACTGCCTTTTAAGGCGGCGCATCAACCTGTACGTTTTTTCAACCCAAAAATCTTAAATGCCAACTCGCTCATCCATGAGTAAGATTGGATTAACTAGGTTTGATTGAAATTATTACAATTTAATTTTTCATAATATTAAGATTAAAATTAGTATATAAAATTTATATATTTAGAATTTATATTAAAAGTACTATTAAATAAAATAAAATAAATTTAAAAATTATAAAAAAAATACTAATAGAAATAAATAAAGAAGAAATAATTGATTTGATTCATGAATAATAAGTAGGACAGATAAAATGAGACGGAGAAAGTAAATCTTAAATCTCGTTTTAAATTATTATTAAATATAGGAAAATGCGTGTTTTATTTTTAAATTATTTCTAAGTATAGACTGAATTATTTACCTACAAAAAGTAAAATTTTCTTGTTTTGAGTCCTCATATATACCCCACCCAATAATAAATCATTGCTCAGTTACTCAATTAGTGGCGTGTCTATCTGACTATCTTTGATTTCTTAGATGGAAAGTCATCAAAAACTCTACAATACCAAGGGTAAACATGAGATTTCATCTCCTACATACTCATCTATTAATAAGATATACACACAGTACAATTCAACAATATAAATCACAAATGCAACACAAGATAACAAAAACTCAAAGAAACATTAACTTCATTAATTAGGAATTGACGAACTAGGCACAAATGTTCTTAATTATATTAGTTATAAAAAAAATACAAGTTAAAAAGAATAGATAAAAATGCAAGAGATTCTCCCAAAATGATGTGTTTCCAAACTTTTCCCCGGCGTCTCAGTTGCTTCAATGCTTTAATCATTCTACTATTTCAACTAGTAATTCTCCCGCGCGATGCACGGAAAAAAATTATATTATTATAAATATAAATAAAAAATAAAAAACTAAAATATTTTAAATTATTTAATATAATAATATTTTTGAGCTTCCATTGGTCAAGTATTTATTATTTTTATAAAATACAAAATTAAAATTAAAATTATAATTATAATTTTGTATGGTTAATATAATCTCTAATTATGTGCATATTCAAATAAACTTATAGAGATAATTTACATAATTACATTGATTTATTCTTAATTGTATTTCATCTATATTATAATTTTCACAATACAAATAATAACTAAGATAATTACATTTAGAAAGCAAATTTTAAATTTCGTATGTGTAAATTTAAACTCTAATTGAACATATAGCTATTTTATTTTTCAAAAGTATATTTTTTATATGATTATATAATATATAACTATTTTATTTTTTAAATGTTGTGCTTTTTTTTTTATATATAATAAAGAATGTTGTGGCATTAATTGTAACATTAATTATTTTCCAAACCATATAGCTTTATTATATAAAGGATACTTGCTTTCCAAAGGCACTAACTAATATAGTAAAAACGATTCAAAACATGCATTTACACCACTCTTTAAATAAAGATCAAGGGAAGGTAATAAAAACCATAAATCATTATTGCAATTAAACCCATAAATGATTCTAACGTTATGTGAAATCAATGTATGCAAAAATAATGAGAGCATATCATAAAATTTGTTGTGACTTATTCTTGTGAAATTTTAAAAATAACTACCAATATATATATATATATATATATATATATATATATATATATATATATACTCATTTTACTATTAGAAATGAAAGCATATCATAAAGTTTGATGTGATTTATAATTCTTGTGAAATTTAAGAAATAACTACCAGTACATACTTATTTTACTATTAATTAATTAATTTTAATTTATACACAAAAAAAAAAAAAATTGACAAAAATTGGTGTGAGACCCTATCTTTGTACATACGGGTTAAGTCAAGATGAAATGTAATACTTATACTGAAAAATATAATATTAAACCGGGAATAAAATATTTACATGGGAAAATGTACTACTTTTTTTAAAAATATAATCATTTTACATTTTGATTTAAAAGTATTACTTTTTTCCTCACAAACATTACTTATAATGAAAATTGTAATACTTTTGAGAAAAAAGGTAATACTTTTACATCAAAATGTAAAAATATTTTTTTAGTATAAGTATTACATTTTTATATTGATCCGATCCGACCTACCTCACGGACAATTATTAATTTTCACTTCAAACAAATTCACACAATACCATCCAATTAAAATGAAATTGCCGTCGCCCTCAAAATGGCTAACATTCTTCGTGGTTTGAAATAAACAAACTACAAAGGCAGAAGCCTTTTCTTTTTGGCTTCAGCTTCGGCATTCGGCACACGAAATCAAGACGGCAGAATTGAAATTTTGTTTTATTCTTCTGCTATTGTTCGGCGGCACACAGCACACACCCACAAACAGGCCAATTAAAAAATGTTTAATTTAATTATTTTATCAATATAAAATAATACACACACACACACACATATATATATATATGTGTGTGTGTATATATATATATATATATATATATATATATATATATATATATATATATATATAATATTTATTAAAATACAAAAGATTATCAAAGAAAATATTATACAAAAATTAACTTAAAAGTGACATTTTTCATGTATAATTTTAAAAGTACAAAATTAAAGAGTACAAAAGAGAATAAGAGAAGCTGTAGCAACAAGGTCAAGTATTGGTTAAAAAGCATAACAAAAATTACCTTTTTTTTTTTTTTTTTTTTTTTTTAAACACAAAGACAAAGCATGTCATTCAATCAAATCCAAACGGAGAATATTACAACAAAGTTTTAAGGGTAGGCTCACCACTCTATAAAATTTGACAAAAAAACAGACTCTCGAACTCAATTATGAACAGTCTGATTCGCAGATGGCCTAATAAACCTAATGAAAATGTGATTAAAATTCATCAGCATTTCCTTGATATCATGAACAAGCATAACAAAAGAGGAATCCCCAAAGTTGCTGAGGGAGTGAATAATCTACAAATAGGATAGTCAGTTTTCACCTCAACAAAGTCATGATTTTTGTCTTTCAGCCAACTTCATGCTTTACGAATAGCAATATATATATATATAGCTTCTGTTTCGTTGGGATTTAAAATTCCACGCCATGGCAAACTCTTGGCCGCAATGACAACTCTTAACGCTGAATCTCCTATTATCCTCCATATATAGTCCATATATATCTGTTTGTCATTTGTATTCTTCCAAAAGACTGAACCTCAACCCTAAGGCCCCCCACCCTGACACGACAAAGCATTTGGGAGGATGTAAATCATGGTAACTCAACTGAACATGAACCACAAAGGCTAGACCATGCTCACTGCACAAGGTGTTTGTCATTTGTATTGGTTCTAAGAATAGGGATGTTCATAATTAAGTTTGAATATACTCTCATTTTCTATTCCTTTTATGCTTTCGCTCGCTTGAAATGTCATCAAAAATTTGAGAAAGAAAGTAGAAATTGAAAATAAAAAAATATATTTGACAAGAGTATACATAATATTTTCAGGCTAAGCTAATCAGCTAAAGCCTGCAGCGCGCATCCATCAGCATATTCTTGAGTGAACCATGAAGATTAAGGGTCATGATGGTGTTAGCGGTGCCGACAAACCTGCCGCGGATGAAGACAGCCGGGACGGCGGGGTTGCACCCTAACCGGCGGAGGGCTCGCTCCATCTCCCGGCCGTTACAGTTATCTTCGTCCAGCTCGTATATCATGGGGTTTATCCCTTGGGAGTAGAACAGCCCCTTTATGGAATGGCACATGCAGCACGAAGTTTTGGTGAAGATTACCACTTTGTTCTGCGAGGCAGCCTTCGCTACGCGGTCCATTTGGGTCGATCGGCTTTCTCGCAGTACGTGAAGAAAAGGATCGGATCGAGAAACAATATAATATGTCAATATATGTGTGTTTAATTGGTTTCTTCCTTGTGATGGTGTTTGGAGCTAGTTTGCATTGTGACGGTCCGGGTGACGTTTATATAGAGAGGTGAAGGTTTGTGGTTTAATCTTCATTAATTATCACTTAACGCAACGACAACAACGTACACTACTATACAAATCCTTCATTTTCAAAGTGATATTACCGATATGATGTAATTGACTACTTTTTATATATATATATTTTTTTTTATTTTAATGCTCATTAGAATTTAAAAATCTAGTAGGCATATTAAGTCTTGATTATTCTAAAATTAATTTATCAATTTATGTGTAGAATGGTTTTTAAATTGGAATTTTTACAATATCATTTACAACAATTTTTGTCATAAAAAATAAAAGGACATTATATATATATAATTCGGTTTATATGAAAATTACTCCCGAACCTATAGACAAATTTAAACTATCGATCTGCAAGATTTGATAGATAAGAAATCAAGTAAAAAATGAGAGGGGTTATTTTCAAATGAGAACTATGCTTTTCATGAGAACTTGTGAACTAATTAATATGATAACACTATCTAGAATGATCAATTACTGAAAATAAGGGGCAAAAATGGCACTTGAGTGTATTAAAAAATGTTAGTGTTAGAGTGTTAAATATATACTACGAATATGTTACAGTGTATTAAAAAATACAATATAAAATTTAATATAAACTTTGGTCAATTAATTGGCCCGACTAAATACATAGCATTCAAAATTGAGCACCAGATATTATAAATAAGGAACCTTGAAAATCATTTTCTTGCATTTAAAAAAAAAACAAATTTAGGTTAAGTTTATTTGTTTTATTTGTTTTTTTTTTTTTGTTTTTTGGATAATTAATATTCTTTTGATTATTTAGAACATGACTCAATATTTCAATTATGCTTTTACATTATTGAAAATGATTTAAGTCATTATGATATTAATATTTTTTGTTTGTATTTCTATAATGGTACAATTATACATTATTTTACAAATATTGTACTATTATTTTTTTATCAAAAAAAATTGTTCTTACATCATTGTTAGACCTTGCGACCTAACTACAAAGAGTTTGATTAGAAATACAACTACACCTAGACACTAAATGGTAGGACCATTGTCCAAAGAATTGACAATGTTTCACATCCCAACAGCGCAGCCTATAATTTATAAATATTCTTCTTCCAGAAGGTTAAATCTCCAACTCCAAGGACCCCAACCTCAGTATTCGGGAGGATCGATGACTCAATGGCTCGATCAACAGGGTCAAATGGTGGTGTGTACATAAAGGATCTGTCCAATACTTTAGGCATAATTCTCACACTGTCGCTGTCGAGGTTCGAATATTGATCTCTTCACCTGAGTAATGAATCAGTAATTAAGTTCTCACAGGCATAATTTATAAATATCATATGTCAGAATGGACGAGCTATCCTAGTTAGAATATACCGTTACCTGATGAGACGGCACCAAGAGAAGATTATAATTTTTGTTTGTATTGCATGCAGAATATATCCATTAACTAACCCAAAATGATATTACAATTCGTCATAATAATTGTATCGCCACATATATTGGGATCGGAGGTCACTTCAAAATTGGGGATAATATTAACTTATTTAAATTCCCCAGACTTTGCATTACTTTTATGATGGCGTAGAATACTTAGATACCAATTCAAGTAGGTAGAATCATTGGCATATATAGCATGCATTAGCTTTTAATAAAGTGTTACATATATATGAGGTAACTTTCTGCGCCTATTGACACAATCATCTTCACTAGCTAGATGCAATTTTGATACCCGTTCATTATTGTTTACAATTATTGTTCTATAATGAATTGAAGAAATTGTCACTAACCAACAGTGTTGATGGATATATTGGGAACGAGTCTGGAGCAAATCGACCCGAGAAGACGAGTCAAGACAACCCGAGTCAACCTCCGAGGTTGGCCCCGAGACCGATCCCAACAGTCGCGGCCTCATGCACCCAAGGTTGGCCCCCATGGCCGGCCTTGAGACCCCAAGCTAGGCTAAGCTCAAAGCTCGGCCTCGGGCACCCAAGGTCAGCTCCGTGGCTGGTCTTGAGGCCTCGAGGCCGAGCTCAGCGCTCAGCCTCAAACGGCCAAGGCCGAGCACTGAGGCTGAGCTTCGTGATCGGCCTCGAGCAGCCAAGGCGGCCTAGCTCGATGCTCAGCCTCAGGCAGCTAAGGTCTGGCTGGGCGCGAGTCGTGGTCAAAGGACCCTAACCGCCCACCTTTTTCTGGGGGCGATTATGGGGCCAAGTTCAATATAAATTTCTTTATATTTGTCTCGTTAAAATACACAATCCTTCTTGTAATCATCTTACACAATATATTAATACAAAGCTTTATCCTTCCTAGTCAATATGTTGTCCATTCGGGTTAATTAAATCGGATAAATCTTGCTCTTGTGTAATAGCCACAAATCACACAAAAGAGATAAATCGGTACTACTATATATTAATGATATGTTAAGTACATGCATAATCATATTATAGCCCGTTTGGTTGGAGAGAATTAGAATTTCATTCTTACCTAATTCGAAAATTCATTGATTTGGTAAGAAGGAATTGCATGCAATTTCACAAAATTGTAATTTTCTCATTTTCACGGAATTTGAATCTCATGCCTTCCTCTTGTATTTTCAATTCTGTGGTTTTTTTTTGGGGGGGGGGGGGGGGGGGGGGGGGGGGCAAAAAACAAAAAAGATACCTTTGAGACAAAATTACCCTTTTATCTTTTCTAACATATAAAATTGATGTTTCATTTGTTTTAATTTGTATATTAAGTATGGACATTTTGCTCTTTATACTACTTATTCCCTTTCAATTCTCATTGATACCAACCACTGGAATTGAAATTTCCAATAATTATATTCTTTCAACCAAACATTGTAATTTAAATTCTCATTTTATTCCCACATTATTCCTCTTTAATTTCATACAATTGCAATTAATTTCCCCCTAATTCCCTCCTTCCAATCAAATGGCGGGTTAAGGCCACTATACAACATTAATTTATGCATGCATATATTGTTTTGATATATAAAGTTCAAAATCAAAGAGTGAAAAAAAAAAAAAAAAAAAAAAAAGATGAGAAGGTGTAGCAACAAGGTCAAAGTATTGGTTAAAAAGTACAGTTAAAGTGACCTTGCTAGCTTGCTAAATAAGTCACGAAAGATAAGCTAAAGCCAGAGAGCACCGGCCTCCTTGAGCATCTTCTTAAGCGAGCCATTAATATGAAGGGTCATGACGGTGTTGGCGGAGCCGACAAACCTGCCGCCGATGAAGACCGCCGGGACGGCGGGGTTGCAGCCGAGGCGGAGGAGGGCTCGCTCCATTTCCCGGCCGTTGTAGCTATCCATCTCGTCCAGCTCGTATATCATGGGGCTCACTCCTTGCTCGTAGAACAGCCTCTTGATGGCGTGGCACATGCAGCACGAACTCTTGCTGAAGATCACCACCGCCTTCTGCGCCGCCGCCTTCGCTACGCGATCCATTCCGCCGCCACTACTGCCGCCCGCCGGGGAGATCAAACGTACCAAACAATTAATAATAACAGTGTTTTGTGTTTTAATTTGGTTTAGTTGCGATAGATGGTGTTGGGGGTTACGTTTTGTGGCGTTTATATAGGGAGGTAGCCAGGAATATTGTGGTGGATTTGGATTATATTGGATAATCTTATTCTTCTAAAAGGTTGAATTCTCAATTCCAAAATCCCCTACATTTTGGCTTGAGGTTATGTAAAATAATCGGAATATATAGTTAGTTTATTGGTGATGAAGAAAACTAAAGGTGGAATATTACAAAATGTATAAATATATATAAAGTGGAAGTTCTTTGAGATATATATTTGGCTTAGATAGATGCTGTGATAGGTGTGCAAATTAAAATGCTCTTCCTTTTGATAGTAGCCAAGAGAGTACCTATAGGCCCCCATAAATTGATTCTGAACCCCTTATTTGATTGTGACCCAACCTTGAGCACTCCATACTTCTTAAAGGTCCCAACTTATTATGAAATCAATCTCAAAGATTATTTCATCTCAATTAAAAATTTAAAATGATATATATATATATATATATATATATATATATATATATATATATATATATATATATATTCATAATATTTAAGTTTAGTATTAGTATATAAAATTTATATATATAAGAAAATACTAAAGAAGAAAATAAACAAATGAGAAAGTTGGTTCATTTAAGGCCTGAATTGTAAAAATAAATAAATAAAAGAGTAAAATGTGACATATTGGGCAATATAATTATTACGTGTGACATTATTGGAAATTGAATTGAAATTACATTTTGTTACCAAATACAGTGTACATGAATGTGTGGAGAATTAGAGTTAGATGCCCTAATTAAAGAATGTCAACTTATGATGTGTAATGGGAATTGGGAAGTGAAGGATATATGCATGCATGCGTATATGCAGTGTCAAAGCATTGAAGTTATGTGAAAATGGGAACATCACAATAAAGGTGATGAAGAGAGAATATATGTTATGTTTAGATTGGTCCAGTTCCAGAAGAGGCATCCTAACTTGTCTCTTCGGTCACGTGAACTGTGAAAGCGATCGATCCATGATATATGCTAACTTAACTTATAAGTGATAATTCTCTCTCTAGATTCTCTCTAGGGTTTTTGCAGACCTACTAAGGTTTTCCTAGGTTTTCAGACAAATTTTATTCTAATCTTCCCTGAAAGATGGCCGATAATGTTGTTATGGATGGCGAGGTTAACCGACGTGACGAGGGGCTGGCTGAGATGGAGGAAACACAAGATAGGGAATTATCGGAAGGTGTTGATTTCCGCCGGACGATAGAAGGAACGCAAGACGCTCGGCGAACTGTTGGTTGGGGGCAAGTACGGAGGGAGTATGGTGCGAATGAGAGATTCCAGCCGACAGAAGCAGTACGGGAAAGTGGAGGAAGGGGGGAACGTGGCAGGCGTGGGGGAGTTGTGTTGGCAGGTGGCCTAGGCGGTTTGCATGGGGATGGCGTGGGAGGTTTAGATGGAGGCAGTATGGGTAGAGGAGGGATTAGGGAGTATGGTGCGAATGAGAGATTCCAGCCGACAGAAGCAGTACGGGAAAGTGGAGGAAGGGGGGAACGTGGCAGGCGTGGGGGAGTTGTGTTGGCAGGTGGCCTAGGCGGTTTGCATGGGGATGGCGTGGGAGGTTTAGATGGAGGCAGTATGGGTAGAGGAGGGATTAGAGGCAGTACGGGTACGGGGCAGCATGGGAGGGGGGATGGGGGGTCTACACGGCAGCAAGGGGTAGTGGGGGGTGTGGCGGAGTTGACGGATAGATGGGCGGAGATGGCGTTGATGGAGGAGGAGGGGGCGGTGTTTATGCCGGAGGGTGGAGAGGCGGGGGTAGAGGGTGATGGGGAGGAGGAGGAGACTTGGAGGATTGTCGGGCGGTTTTTGACGCAGAAGATGATAAAACTGGACTTTATGAGGCAGGTTCTGGCGTCTGTTTGGCAACCGGTACGTGGAGTACAGGTAACGGAGATTCAAAGGGGTTTGTTCTTATTTGTTTTTTTTTTCCATAAGACGGATATGGAATACGTGCTGGATGGGGGACCCTGGGCTTTTGAGAATAATGCTCTTGTGTGTCGAGAGGTGTTGGATGGGGTAAATCATGTGGATGTAGAGCTGGATATGATTGACATGTGGGTACAGTTGCATGATATGCCAAAGGGATACACGTCACATGCAATTCTGGAACAGGCAGGGAATTTTTTGGGCTCTTTTGTTAAACATGATGACCGATTTGAAGGGGCGCCATGGCTAACGTTTCACCGTATTCGGGTGTCAATCTCGGTTGATAGGCCACTTAGAAGAAGGATGAGGTTGATGAAGAGAGATGAGACTACAGCATGGGTAAATTTTAGATATGAACGGCTGCATAAGTTTTGCTATTTTTGTGGTTGTATGGGTCACTTGCATACTTTCTGTATACACGCTAGGGAGGCTGGAATTCCGGTGGAAAGGTACCTGTACGGCCCGGATATGCGAGCTGGTGGATCCCGGAGCGCTCCTAGAGAGGTTGGGGATAGCTGGCTTGTTCCGGTTGGCGGGAAACCACGACCACTGGGAGTCAAACTACGTGTGGTAGATGGGGGGCAGGGAAGTGGGGGTGTCACACCCACGAGTATGTCTGAGGATGAGGTGGTGGTGGCTACGGCAAAGCATCGTAGATATGGGACGGAGGGGGGTGAAGATAGTGGAAACGATGAGGTAACAATTACGGATGGTTCAAAAAACTTGTCCATGGCGGGAGCTGGTGTTCAGCCCCGCCCATCATCATGAGTACTTTGAGCTGGAACTGTCGTGGCTTGGGCAATCCACGCACAGTTCGACAGATTGTGGGCCTAGCGTCCAGTAAGAAGCCGGATTTTGTGTACTTGATGGAGACCAAGGTACCACGGATACATGCAGAACGGATCCGGGTTACGCTTGGGTATGAAGGTTTGTTTTATGTTGATAACGATGGATTGAGTGGAGGGATGGCGCTTTTATGGAAGAAGAATAATACGGTGAGGCTTTTAAGCTACTCGCAGAGTCATATTGATGTGGAAGTAAGCTTGTTTAATAAGTTATGGCGCATGACATGTATCTATGGTATCCCCGAGCGTGGTAGGCGGGAGGAGACATGGGATTTGCTTGGTACTCTGAAGACTAGATCCTTATTGCCCTGGGTGGTGATAGGAGACTTTAATAATCTGCTATATCAGCACGAGAAGAAGGGGGGAAATCCGTATCCCAATAGTCTGTTACGGGGTTCCGGAGATGCTGTGGATGACTGTGGTTTGATGCAAATGCCAATGAGAGGCCACCAATTTACGTGGCAGAAGGGGAAGGGGACGCCGAATTGGATAGAGGAAAGGTTGGACAAGGCTTTGATAACGAATGATTGGGGTCTGCTCAATGAGAATGCATGGTTGGAGAATATTCGAACCCGGGCCTCGGATCACTCGATCCTTTTCCTCAGTATTAATGCGATTTGCATGCCAAGGGGAAGGGGGCCGCGGAGATTCAGGTTTGAAATGGCTTGGCTATTAGATGAGGGGTGCAAAGAAGTAGTAGAAACGGCCTGGCAGGAGGGGAAGACGGAGGGATTGCTGCATTGCCAGCAGTTGTGTGGAGAGAAATTAATGCAGTGGGGGGAGACCAGTTTCATAAATTCGGGAAACGAATTAACCAGCTACAGCAGAGGCAGGATGCCATACGAAATAGGCGAGATTTGGTAGCGCTAGCTGAGTACTAACAGATTGAGAATTTCCTGAAACGAATCGAGGCCCAGGAGGATGTGTTCTGGAGGCAGCGAGCTAAGCAGCACTGGCTACGCGGGGCTGATGCGAATACAAAATTTTATCACAGGTATGCCTCTGCACGTAGGAAAAAGAATTTTATTTCTAGTATTAAATGTAATGCTGGTAACTGGGTGGAGGGGGATGATATGCATGCTGCTATACAAAATTACTTTGACAATATTTTTGCCTCTAGTAGATTGAGTTGTGATGATCCACTTTTTGGGGTCCTAGCCCCACGAGTAACGTTAGAACAGAATGTGATGCTTGACCGCCCTTTTGAAACTAATGAGGTTAAAGAGGCTCTCTTTTCAATGTATCCGGATAAGGCACTGGGTCCGGATGGGTTAAACCCGGTTTTTTACCAACAGTTTTGGGAGATAGTGGGAGGAGATGTATCTGGCTTTATAACGAATGCTTTGAATTCCTGTGTATTTCCCGAGGGATTGAATGATACTAACATTGTTTTGATACCGAAGAAGGAGATGCCTGAGACAATTGCCGATTTAAGGCCGATTGCGTTGAGCAATGTCATTTACAGAGTTATGCATGGCCAAGATGATAGCAAATAGGATGAAAACACTAATGGGAGGATTAATATCGGAACCCCAGAGTGCATTTATCCCGGGAAGGCTAGTCACTGACAACATTCTAGTAGCAGCCTAGGTGGGGCATTATCTGAATAGAAAACAATGTGGTAGAGTGGGGTGGAGTGCTGTGAAGTTAGATATGTCAAAAGCCTATGACAGAAAATGGAGTGGAACTTTCTTGAAAGGATGCTGACAGTTATGGGTTTTAGTGAGAAGTGGATAAAGCTCATTATGCTGTGTGTAACGACTGTTAATTATACTGTAATGGTTAATGGTATAGCAGGGGCATGTAAAACCAACCAGGGGACTCAGGCAGGGAGACCCTCTCTCTCCGTATTTATTTATTATTTGTGCAGAGGCTCTCTCGATGATATTACAGTATGAACAGTTGGCAGGCTCAATACATGGGTGCAGAGTTGCAAGGGGGGCGCCACCTGTATCGCACCTATTTTTTGCGGATGATAGTCTTCTATTCTTTAAAGCAAATATCCAGGAGGCGGGAGTTATAAGGCAGTGCCTTGCAAGGTATGAGAAATTTTCAGGCCAGGTGGTGAATTATAATAAATCTAATATATGTTTTAGCAGAAATACCCAGGAGGCTGACAGGGTGCGGATAGCGGATTGTTTGGGGGTGGTGCAAGCACCCAATTTTGGAAAATA